ATAAACACTATTGCTAAAAGTTTCTCTAGTGGCTGGGCCTCCGTAACCTAGTGATTAAGGGAGCTGGTTCCCACTTGGCTGACCACAATTTGAATCCTGGCCCTGACAGTTTGAAAAACATGCTGAGTGCATGAGTGTGTGTTTCCCAAATCTCAAAATAATGGAGAAATAGAAGAGAAGGGATTTCAGTGTGACCACACTCCATGGGAGGGTGCTTTCCTCCTCTCATTCACTCTGGCAAGCACAAGGATCTTTGGCAATCAAAAAAAAAAAATACTGGGTCAGCAAATGGCACAGCGGTTACCTCACTGGACTCTCCCATGGCCAACTGTTTAGTCCCAGATCCTTTGGCTTAAAACTCAGACCAGACGCATGTGCATGAGTGCCTAAAATCCTGGGAGGAGAATGGAAGAGAAGGGATTGTGGTGTGGCCATCCCCCTGGGGGGGGTTATTTCTCACTTTCCTTCTCACTGTCTCTATTTCTTACTTGCCAGTAAGCACATGAGCCCCAAGGCAAAAACCTCTACAAATAAATAAATAAATGAATAAAATAAAAACTTGGAGCCAGGTGGTATGGTGGGTAAGGTGCTGGATCCACAATCCAATTCATGTCCTAAACCCTGAATCTGGAGGCTTTTCTAACTTTCCCTCTCTCTCTCTGATTAGCATGTGTGCCCTATAGCAAATTAAATAATAATAAATAATGATAATAATAATAAATACAATAAAACAAATACTTATTTAAAAAATAGTAAAATAAGCTTTCCTAAGACTGAGAGCGCTGTGTCATAAGACGTGTGTATCTGCAAAGTTAATAGATATGTCACTTGATGCTCCAAAGAAGGGGCAGACTTTAATATTACCAATAATAACCAAGATTTCTCATTAGTTAATCTGTAGCAAATCCTAAGTCCTGTTTTTCCTCCAGAATCCAATGGGTTCTGACTATATCATTTCATGGACTTTCACAAATTCAGATGCCTTTAATATTATAATATTAAAGGGAAATTGAAATAGTATGCCAGATCTGATAGAATCGCAAATGCCATCACTAATATTTCCTTTACTAGTAAGTGTCGTAAAGCTGTGCGTGAGTGTGTGTGTGTGTGTGTGTGTGTGAATGTTCTGTTTTGAATTTACTTATGCAGAAGTAGATTGGTATGTGGTTAAGATTTCTGACTCTGGAAACGAATGACCTGGGATCAAATTTTGATTCCTCCACCTAGATCTGTAACTTCTAGCACCAAATATCCTCTCTGGTTTCTGTCTGAGTGTGGGTACAGCTGTCAGTGCTATCTCTAGGCTTGTGTTTGGGCCTGGAGAATGCTAAGGGCATGATGGTTCCCGTCGTCTCTTTCAGCTCCCTAACTCAGTCTGTCTGTGTCTCCCTGCTGCCCCTTACCTTTTACCCCGGCCTCGGCTCTCCCAGGAGAGGAGAGCTTTAGTCTATTTCAGTCTGATAACAGTGGGCTGGGCGGAGAAGGGGAGCCATCTCTAATCTGTGTAATTGTGTGGTATGTTCTGGGGTTTCACTTACACCGAGTTAGGTTAAAATTGTTACCTGTGGGGCCAACAGGTGGTATAGTGGTTAACAGGCTGAACTCCCACATGGCTGACCATGGTTTGAATCCTGGACTTCGCAGCCTGAGGATCACAGTGGTCATGCGCATGCGTGTTCCTAAAATACCAGGAGGAGAATGGAGAAGGGACTGCAGCATGGCCATCCCCCCAGGGGGTGATTTCTCAGTTTGCCTGTCACTGTCTCTCTCTGCTGAGTGCACGCACCCTATGGCAAAAACTTAAAACAAAACAAAAAATGGTCTCCTGCTATGTCAGACTCTTACTGCATACAATTTATGAGAGCAAAGCAATCCTGTAAGTGTTGTGTAGTAACCTGTCTTCAGATACTGCAACATGGTAAACCATTTATGTCTTACTTGTGTGGTTTGTCTCCTAGTTTTGCACATTCAGATAATATTTTTTAATTTTAGTATTATTTTAATCTGAGTTCCTAGCTCTGTTTCTTTTTATTCTTTCTTTCTTTCTTTTTTTTTGGAAGAGGTTCTTGCTATAGAGTGCATGCACTCACCAGAAAGACAGAGAGACAGAAAGCCATCCCCCCTCCCCCCGGTCAGGGGGGGGCGATGGCCACACCACAATCCCTTCTCCATTCTCCTATTGGGATCCTAAGCATGTACACACACGCGCCCGGCATGAGTTTAAGCCACCGGGTCGGGGACTCAAATCGTGGTCAACCACATGTCCAGTGACACAGCCATCATGCCAACTGCTGGTCTCTAGCTCTGTTTCCTATGGTAAATACCAAGAAGTGAAATTGGTCCAGTATTTGCTCTCTTTTCCGAAGAATCTTTAATTCACTGTGAGATCACTGACCTAAGGACTTCACGTTAGTCATTTCCTTAATTTGGACTCTGGAAATAGGACTATCTATATAGCAGGTAATGTGACCTTGGACCAGTACCCTCTTCACTTTTTCCAGCCTTGCTACTTTGCATTACTCCAGGGATACCATTTAATTTCCATTCTGAGTGTCATATGCGTCTTGGAAGCTCCTTTAATGCCAGAACACTTATATAGGTGGCATCGGTTTTAATGTCTACCTTCTAAAGAGGAGTCTTTTAATGGGGAGGGCTAAAGCCACCTCTTCCACTTTCACAATTACTGGTGTTCTGAGGAATAGGCGTGTGCAGGCACACATGTACACACATCATTTGTGAGCACTTCCTGTACGTGTGAGCTCCAAGTTACTCTCTGAGTAGGAACATACCCAGAGATGCAGGCCATGAGCTGGTTGCTTTGATCTATCTTATTGCAGACTGTCTGAACATGGCGACAGTGACGGTGCGTGTAGTGGCTGTATTTTGTAAGTATACAGTTTTATTTGTGGTCCTCAGTTACAACCAGTCACCCCTAAGCAGACAGGATAGTGCTGTAACTTGCGGATCTCCAGGGATCACAGCAGAGTCCCTCCCCCATCTGCAATGAGAGTAGTTGAAAGGGCCCCAGCCTACAGTAAGGAAAGGGAAAGGCAGAGCCCATCAAGGCACATGACGACAGTTTGTCACTGACACCGACTCGACCCCGCTTTTTCCAGTGGTCATAAAGCCACACATGGTATTAAGGTATTAATTTGACTGAGGAAAAAATATTTCTGTTCTTTACACTGAAGGGACTGCAAGTGGCTGAATACAGGAAATTTAATTTTTTATTCCATTATTCTATTCTCTAGCTGAATTATTTAAGTTACTTTATCAATTAGCTTTTTAAGTTAGTTTTATTTTATTTTTTTAACTTGTCAGGACCATGCAAGCCAAGTTCTGTTTCATATTGAGATTAAAATCTCTCATCTAGTGGTGATTCATCTTCCCAATTTACAATCTATATCCTTGTCCTGGTGGTTCCATTCCAAGAAGAGACTAGGAGAGGAGGAAAGTCAGTCGAAAGTTACTCAGGAAGAGGGATCATCGGGAGGCAGGGTGGCTGCTGAAAACGAGGGAGCGAGTTGAGTTTGAGTCTTTGAGGTGAAACATTTCATGCGCGTGTGGCTAATGAGAATGAGTTTTTCTTAGCGAAAGTTTTTAGCATCAACTTAAAAGAGAATTTTACTCCAAAGAGGATCAAAAGCTACTGTCTGGATGGTTTCCTGGAGACAAACTGTGCCTTGCACACATTTGATGCTGACACTTAGGGGAAGATCTGTGTCTCCAGTCACCATCAGAAGACTGGATGAACGGCTTGAGATAAAAACAAAAACTCCCTTCTAAACACAACCTTGTAAGAAAGATAATAAGAGTCTTCACTATGAGGATTTAAGGTAAAGTCTTGGACTCAATCTACAGTGGACACAGCATCCAATTAAACAGTATATCCCCAAAACTGTAAAACAGGGAATTTAAGTGGTAGATGAAAATGACAATGACAGAGTTTTGAAATGTGGAGCCATCACATGCCCCTAATTGCATATGAGAAAGACTGATTCATCGACATTTTTTTTAAAAAAAGAAATACTTTATTTCGCTTTATTTATTTATTTTCATTTTACCAGAGAGGGACAGAGTGAGAGAGAGCGCATGAGGGAAAGTGAGAAAGCAAGCCGCCAGGTCTGGGACTCGAACCACAGGCAGCCATGTGGGAGTCCAGCGTCCTTAACCCCCACATCACCTGCCAGCTCCAATTCATAGACTTTTAATTCGTACTTTATTTTTGCCTTCTGGGATGTTTCTGAGCTTTATATCCATGTGCTTTTCTGGTACATAGTTTTGCATTACATTCCTGCACTTCATTTAAGGTGACAGTATGTGGAACAGGACTGAAGAGTTGAGCTTGTCTTACTGTTGGTCTGCAAGAAGCAGACCTTGCTATTTGCCTGTGAGAGGTTTATTGGAGGGTACTGGGTGCTCTTGGGAACATTTGTAAAGTAGAGAGGGGAAGTAGGTTGGGCACAGGGAGAAGTTGAACTACATTGCAATTGTGATGGGGGCTACAGCTAGTTCCCCTGGATACTCTACGGCTGGGAGGGCCTCCAATTGGTCCTAACTGAAGCTAAACTGTGACCTTGAACTTCCCCATAGACCTGTTCCTGACTGGGCTGCCTCCAGAGAGGAATGTAACCTTGGGCGAGAGGGCTCCCTCCGTTCACGTAGGGCCACCTTGGGAGACAAACCCAGCTGTCAGTAGCCAGTGCTCCTGACGGCTGGGCAGGAGTGTTTCTGTTGTGGAGTCAGAGTGCTGGTGAGGACAGTCTCCAGTCCAATAGCTGCACGTGAACCGAAGACCAGCTATGGCAGAGAGGAGAGAACTCTGATTTACAGAAAGCCTAGAGGAACAGGTCTTCAGTGGTCAACCATATGAGTGTGCTTGGGTTCTTGTGATTCTGGAACTTAGGGAAAATGTTGTTGAGTAGCCATTTTATGTGGGCTGATATATAATTTAAAAACAAAGCAGACTAATCTTGTACTTTATTTTGTTTTACATTCAGCTATCCTGAGAGTAAAAGAATGAAACTAGAAAACAGAGCTCTTAAAGCAGGGCCGGATAGAGTGAGCAGAGAAGCTTGGATGTGGTAGGACTGGACAAACCAATCAACGCAGAGGGCTCTTCAAGTAAGATGTATCTGCCTCTGGTGCTCCTGTTTGCTGATGCATGTCGGGTTTGACATTGGTTGTAAAGTTGAGTTTCTTTGTTTGCCACCAGGGGTCAGTGTTGCATAATGTCTCAGAGGGTGTGCTCTGAATCCATCTGGTAAAGTTCAAAATCTATTTCTACTATCCATGACTGTGATCCTGGGTCATTCACGTAACACCTCAGCCTCTATTCCCTCATCTATCAAATGGGGACAATATAATAATAGGGGAGATGGTCTTCAAAAAGTTCATGGGAAATGCATATTATGAAGAAATATGCATGGATTTATTTATTTGCGTCAAAACAAACTTGAACTTCGATTTCATTTTCCAGGAACTTTCCTTCTATTATTTATTTTAATATTATTATTATCCCTTTTTAAAAAGTTTTCTATAGGGCACATGAGCTCATCAGAAAGAGACAGAGAGAGAGAGAGAGAGAGAGAGAGAGAGAGAGAGAGAGAGAGAGAGAGAAAGAGAGCAAGAAAGACACCAGGTCTGGGACTTGAACCATGGTTTTGAACCATGGTTGACCAAGAGGGAGTCCAATGCTTTAACCACCATGCCACCTGCTGACCCCACCAGGAACTTTTTGAAGACTCATTGTAGTGCTTTACAGGATTTTCACAAATACTAAATTAAAATAATTCTTGTAAACACTTTTATCAATGGTTCAGAGTTAATTGCTCTCCCAAGCCAGAAAGGATCTTCTAGGTTTTAAAAAGCTTTTCCACCTCATATGTAAACCAATCCTGGCCCATGTTTTCTTGAGAATGAGTCTGTGTTTTCTATGAATAAAGGACAAAGGAGGGAAGAAAGACGTAATAGACTGTGTAATGAACTAAAATAAAGTGTGAGAATAGAGGTAAGTGTAAAAACTGCTGCTTTTAACCATCAATACCTAAAAGAAAAGCTGCAGTTTACATTTGCTCATCCCAGTTCACTGAAGTCGAGGCCTGGTGGAGGGATATTGTTTGCCCCTTGAGCGTGGGTTTCACTGGTTGATTGGGAACACCAGGCAGGAGTGCAGGTCATGGCCTTGACGTTACGAACCAGCAGGCCTCAGGCCCAGCTGACTCCCGGGGCTCCTAGTGCCTGGCACACCTTCAGTTCACGGTTCTACAGTCGCTCCTTTACTGAAAAAACATCCTGGCCGTGTGTTCAGGAAGATACAGGACCCAGGTGGCAGAGACACAGCTTTTATGCCTCACATAAACACACCACTCCATTTGCCAGGACCGGTTCAGACAGCCCCTGGACCTCACCGAGCCTGAAAACATCAAAATAAGCCTATGCCTCTTTGTACTCTCCTAATGTCCCAGCGAGGGCCACCCTCCCAACTTATCACCAGCTGCATGAAGTCTTTCCATCATTTTGTAATTTTTCCTTGTCTCTTTTGTAAATGAGAAGTAGGAAGAGGCAAAAAATAAACTGAACACTTTAATGTTGCAGAAAACCTTAGGGTCAAAGGACCACTTGGGCGCTGCAGAAACCTACCGAGGATACTACTTATCACTCTTACATTCAAAAATAGATTTGCCAGAATGAAGGAAAATCCTGGACATGTTTTTATAATACATAAATAGCATGATAGATTATTGCCATTAAAACTTCATTAAGGAGTGATTACTGTAAGTGTTAGGATGTTGCTACCAAAATCACCTTTCTGATTCTCCTTTTGTCTTCAACTGCTCTTCTGCAGCCAGCAGCCTCCCTCCTGCCTCAGCCTTCTGGGTTGCTGCAGGTGTATATTACCATGCCTTTTCTCTTTTTTTTAAAGAATTATTTATTTAATTTTATTTATTAATATTATTTTTAAATATAGGGCATGTGTGCTTACAAGAGTGAGAGAGAGAAAGTGAGAAAACCAGCTGCTGGGTCTGAGACACAAACTGCAGTTGACCATGTGGGAGCCCACCACCCCAACCACCATGCCACCTGCTGGACTCACCATGCCTGGCTTTTTAGGGTGTGCTGAGAATCAAACCTGGGTCTCCAATATGGACTCAGCCTGCCACCGCTGGATTTCTCATTGATATTTAAATGGTTGTTATTGTTTTCTTGTTTATGGGGTTTATTTTTGTTTTGTTTTGTTTTGCCATAGTGAGTGTGCCATTACGAGAGAGAGACAGTGGACAGTGAGAAATCACCCCCTTCCTGGGGCAGGGGGATGGCCATGCCTCAATCCTTTCTCCTCTGTTCTCCTGGGATTTGGGGCATACACACACCCTTGCCCAGTGTGATTTTCAAGCCACCAGGTCTGGAACTAAAGCTATAGCTGGCCACTTGGAAGTCTAGGGTCTTAGCCATCAAACCACCGTCTGGCCCCAATATTTAAAGGTTCACTCAGTCTCAGGCATCTTTTTTTTTTTTTTTTCTTTTTGCTATCATCTGACTGTCATCACCCCTAACTGAGCCTTGTCATTGACCTTGTCCATATGAATGACATCGACTAGCTCTAGGGGTCAGGAAGAGGGAAGAACTGCAGCTCAGGAGGGCAGGAGCGCGGGTCCTCAGAGCTGTGGTTTCACTAACGGGAAAAGGGAAGTCAGGGTGAGAAGGTACGTGGACTCCTATGACTCATTGATTGAAGATACGTCGAGTTTCGAGTTTTTCATTATATATCCAGATAAAAATATTTGGTGTGAAGTCTTGAATGCACACTTTGAGTTTTTAGGCCAGAGGTCTTGATAATTTGGGTTTGGAAGTATTTTATGCATGTAGTACACAATAATTACATATTTAACAAATGTGCATTGAGGAGCCTGGGGTAGCTCAGCTCAGTGGTTATGCAACTGGACCTCATAGGAATGTAGGAATGTATATATACATATATATATATATATATGTGTGTGTGTGTGTATTTTTTTTTCTTATAAGCCAGAGGGTGAGTGCACTCACCAGAGAGAGGAAGACAGAATAGGGCACAGTCATTGCAATTCTTTCTCCTCCATTTCTCCACCCTATTGGGATTTGGGCTATGCACACAAATGAACTCGGAGTGTTTTTCAAGCCCATAGGGGTGGAATTTGAACCATGTAGTTGACCATGGCTCCCTTAACCGCTAGGCCATGGGAGCATCCCCCAAATTGTGTATATACACAGTATTTTATACTCTCTCTCTCTCTCTCTCTCTCTCTCTGATCAAATTAAAATAAATGAATGAATAAATAAAATCATAGTCAAGCTAATAACACACCCATCATCTTACATAGTTATCCATGTGCATGTGCACGCGCATGTGTGTGTGTTTGGTGAGGACATTTAAGATCTACCGCACAGCAACTTTCAAGCATATATTACATTATTGAGTCTCATCTTCCTTCAAGCACTCTCAGCCTTGCCTCCTAGGCTCAACTCCACTAGCTCTTGCTCCTTCTCCCTCTTGCTCTGAACTTTGCAAATCTTCCCAGCTGTCGCTTCCCCATCTGCCCAGCCACTGCCTGAGCTCCATGGGGTGCTAAGGCATGCCCTCTTCTCACTTGGCATGTCCTCTCCGATGTCTCACCATGTCCTGCAGCTCCGTTGCCATCTGCATGCAGATGCCGCCCACGTTATCTTCTAGATTTCTGACCTTTCATCTAAGCTCCGGCTCATATATTCAATTAAACATCTCCATTTACATATTTCCTGGGCGCCTCATACACAGCACTCCTCACTCAAAAGCCACACTCTCTTAAAAACTGCTCCTCTTCCTTCTGACCCTCTCATTACCTACTTCACTGAGCCAGAAATCTGGGAGTAATTCTTGAATCCTTATCTCTTGTGAATGGGTGTTTAGTAGACATGTGCCATATACCCAGTTTCTCAACATCTTTTATGGTTTTAAAGTTTATCTATTTATTTCCTCTATGAGCAAGAAACAGAGAGAGAGAGGCATGCCCAACATGGTTTTACATGACAGTCAGCCCAGATTCTGCCAGCCTGTGTCATGGGCATGCTTGTTCCCAACATGGATAGGGAGGCTCTGTACTCGAACCCATGACCTTTCCATGTGGATTCAGTTCTTTACCATTGGTGCATCACTGTCTGCCCTTCTCTCACCTCCAGCATCTTTAAATAATCTATGCAAGACAATCCACCTCCCCAACTCTGAAGTCAGACATCAAATGCTCAGGTTCTCTTGCATCCCAGGTGGACACAGGTGACCCAGTCTGGCCCTACCTGATGCCTCTGAGTGATTTACAAGTCACTGCATAGAAACCCGCCTCTGTGTGGCACTTCCGCCCTGCTGGCCAGCTGGGCTCAGAGGTATCTGGGTTCTAGGTGAAAGCAGCAGCTGCAAAGCATTATAGACCTCCTCATGCTAATGTGGCACAGTGCTGCAGACTTAGCAACTTAGTGAGGTCTGCCATGGACACACCATGTGTGATGGCAGGAGCAGTGAGCTGACTTTGCACAATTCAGGTGCCTGGTTTGGGAGTGTGTATGTGGGTGGAGGGATGGGGCATGGAAACATGGTGATTGTGTGTGTGTCACATGACGCTTTTCCTTCAGCCTTTCCAATGATGTCTGAAGACTTAATGCTTTTAATAAAGTCTCTCCCCCTTTAACCTAGCCAGAGCAGATTCTGTTGTTTGCAGGAAGAATCATGAACAATTCAAGATTGTTACTTCCTCTCTGGTAGAAGTTCAACTCGTTTTGAGCCATGTGAGAGGTGACAGGAAGGATGTGGTGAGAGGAAACTGGAGGTGGGTGCAGTTGGGGGATCACAGGGCTTGGGCCTCCAGAGTTTAGCTATTTCACGTTTATATACCTAAAAAAGAATATCTGTATATCGAGTATATAAATCACCTGTCTGTCCAAGTATTCCTGGAAGGCAGGGCAGACTGATAGAAAGAGGATGGGCATTTAGGAAAAAGCTGCTGACTTTAAATTCTAACTGTACCATTTACTAGCAAGATCACCTGGAGCAAGCGACTTAACCTGTCTCATTTCCAGTTGCGTCATCTGTGAGGTGCGGTTGAGGTATTTACCAC